CTCGCTTCCAGTCCCCCCTCTGATCGCCGGCCCCAATGGCGTCGCAGCGATGCCTAATCCTAACCCTAGCCCACCATTTCTGATCTCTCCTCTCCTCATCTCCTCCTCATTCTCTCATCAAATCTCAAACCCTAACTCTTCGATCTCTTCACCTCTTAATCCTCAAAAACCCTCACTCCAACTCCATCCTCCCACTTTATCAACATCAATCAATCGATCCTCCTCGAAGTCACCATTTCTCTTCTCGACCTTCGGATCCATTGGGAGATGATGATGAAAACGACAAAGAGGAAGAAGAAGGAGAATACGAAGAAGAAGAAGAAGATGATGATGATGATGATGAAGGCGATGAGAGCTGCAATGGATCGGTGAAGACATTTCGAGCGAGTGGGAAATCTGAGGAGGAGAAAACAAACGAGGCTGCTGATATTGGGTACAAATTGATTGGGCCGCTTGATCCTTCAGAGCGGCCGTTTAAACATTGGGAGCCTGTTTTTGCTGTTGTCCAGGTCTGTGACTTTTGACATTCTTTTGGTTTTAAAACTTTACAAGGTTTTGTCTTTGGGACTGTATTGTTTGTGTTTATTGTAGATTGGTTCGCACCAGTTTAAAGTTAGTAATGGGGATTTGATTTTCAATGAAAGGTTGAAGTTTTGCGATGTTAATGACAAGGTAAGGTGTTGCGTATTGAACACTTTAGGGTTCTTTTGATTTTTACAGTATACGTAACTTTCACCTGTAACGTGGAATTGTTACTCTTGGGAATTTGGCTACATTGCAACAGGAAACTGTAAGTTTAGTTATGAAATTACGATATAAATATTTGTTACTGTAAAACATTCGGTTATAGTGCATATCACGCTGACACATACTTTTGTCGAGGTTGCTTGTATACAAAGGATAAGACTTTCGTGTTCTTATGCAAGGTCCCAATTCAGTAGAATAATCTTGTTGTAAATGTCCTTACGCGTGTCATTATGCAAACTTGAGTTGGTTTGCGTTCAGCTTGTTTGCTGCAGAGCTTCTCATCTAATGTCTGAGATGTCAATCCTTCCATTTTTCTCTTGTTGCATTGTTCTTAAAGAGCTTATTACGATAGTTGAGAAGTGTGATTTATTAGAATGGTCCAATGTCTATACCCATAACTGTTCAAGATGACTGCTTGGTTTGATGAACCAGTTGATTGCACAGGTAGGGAAGGAATTAGAGGTTAATACTACTTACTATCTGTTTCTTCTCAAAGATTAATTATTGGATTTATTGCTTCTTTCTGAAATTAAAAAAATTCCCAAGATGCTCCTTTAACACGACTCTTTTCCCTATCTTTTCTTCTAGATTCCTAGAATATGTTGTATACGCATCTTATCTCAAACTTCCCACCTAAATTCGTTTTGTGAAACCAAAAGATGCCTAAGCTGATATCAGTGACAAATTTCAAGTATAACTTTTTTCCTACTTTCTCTTCTAGAATGTATTGTGTAACCGTCTTATCTCATAATTCTGTCCTTTTTCCATTTCCAATTATTTGGCAGTTTGACTTATCTTAAAGTACGTCATCATGTAGCCAAATCTGGGTTGAAACCCACTTATGGATGGAATTTTCTCATGTTGTTTACTCTCTTTAAAATTGCCAAGAGATGTTACCGGCCTGCAATCGTTTTGTTCCACATAATATTGTTAAACATATTTGTGTGGAAGTTTCAATTTGCATTTGCACTTAATATTCATTATGTTGCAAGTGTCAACCTTCTCTACAAATTAATAGCCTAATTAATTGGGTTTTCAGTTCTTCATCTTTGTTTTTGCTGATAGATTCTAGTTGGGGAACTACTTCAGGACTAGTCTGAACATCATTTTCAGAAATCTCCTCAAATACAACAAATTCCTTTGTTTCAACTTTTGTATTGGAGCTACTTGATTCTGCAATTGATCTGTCTTTGCACATCACATTCTCATTCAATATGACATTTCTGCTTCTGATGATCTTCGAATTTTTATAATCCTAAAACCGATAGCCGAACTCATCACCATCATAACCAACAAAAACACATTTTTTAGATTTGGTATCAAGTTTACTTCTTTCAGCAGAATCTATGTGTACATAAGAGATACAACCAAAAATTCTTAAATGCGAAAGGTTTACCTCTTTTCTGCTCCACGTTTCATCTGGTATTCCACCATCCAAGGGAACTGAGGGACCGCAGTTGAATAGGTAGGTTGCGGTATTGATAGCTTCAGCCCATACGAACTTGGGCAATCCGGCATGTATCCTCATGCTTCTGGCACGTTCATTCAAAGTTCTATTCATGCGTTCCACTATACCATTCTGCTGCAGTGTCATGGAGCAGTTTTCTCCATCTTGATCCCGTTGTTTGCGTAAAATTCTTTGAATCTATTGTCTTTGTACTCTCCTCCATTGTCTGACCTTAACCGCTTTATCTTCAAACCAAAATTCTTTGAATCTATTGTCTTTGTACTCTCCTCCATTGTCTGACCTTAACCGCTTTATCTTCAAACCAGTTTCATTTTCCACCATGGCCTTCCATTTTCTGAAGGTATCAAAGACTTCTGATTTCTTCTTCAGAAAATAGACCCACACATTCCTTGTAGAATCATGAATGAAGGTGACATAGGTCAGTGAACCTGCAAGAGATGAAACTGGAGATGGCCCTCATACGTCGGTATGAACCAACTCTAACTTTTCTGCCTTGGGTATCTTGCCAATCTTTGCAACACTGACTTTCTTCTGTTTGCCAAAGATGCAATCCTCGCATAGGCCAACATCCACACTCTTCAGATCCGGCAGCTTCCCTTTTGACAGAAGTGTCTTCATCCATTTCTCGCTCATATGGCCAAGCCTTTAGTGCCTTAGGTTTGATTTTTCATCTGCATCTGTTACTGCAATAATATTCTCTAGGTTAGAGGTTACATAGAGAGTACCACTTTTCTTACCTCGAGCAATGATGAGTGCTCCTTTGGTAATCTTCCATTCATGACCTGAGAAAGTTATACAGTAGCCCTCTCCATCAAGCTGTCGTACGGAGATCAAATTTCTTTTAAGGTCAGGAATATGTCTCACTCCTTGCAGCTTCCATATGGTCTGATTTGGCAATTTTAATTGGATGTCTTCCTTACCAACGATCTTTAAGGTTTCATCATCTGCTAGATGTACCTTTTTAAAATCACCGCTGACGTTGTTCTCCATGATTTCCCGGCAAGGGGTGGCATGGTAGGATGCTCCTAAATTAAGAATCTATGATTCAATCGAACCATTGACGCTTAGAATCATAGCATCACCTCCTTCCTCGGTCACGTTGGCAGACTCCTGTACGTCGGTATTTTTCTTCGATGCCCGACACTCCCTCTTGAAATGACCCTTCTTGCCACAATTGTAGCACTTAAAATCTTTCTTTTCCGATCTAGATTTGCTTGTTCTAGAATTTGATTTGCCGTGATTTGAACTTCTTCCTGAAAGCCAATCTAGAAAAGGTTACTTTTACGGTGAAGTGAACCACACAACAATACTGAAGCAGAGACATGAAGGTGAAATTGGCCTGAGGAAAGTGAAAGAAAGGGAATGAACGCCCAAATGAAAACCCTTACTCTGAAAGTTTTGATGTTGTAGTTATTGATGTATTGCTTATATATGAGATGCACTTGGTAAGCGGCCTACCTACTTGTTATTGATGGATGTCTTGAGTGCTTTAGTTATTGAAATGCCCTGAAAATTTTGAAGATTAAGATCGAACTATGTTTGTGCTCAAATCTCTACAGAAAAGAATGGTTTCAGTTTTCAGGGTGCCTCGTTCCATTTTCCGTTTGTTAGTGATGTTATACTTATAAGGAACATAAGTATTTCTTCCCACATTTTGTGAAATAATTTGTCGGGATGTTTTCTCATTTGAGAGCTTTTGAGGTAGTAGCTGGTTGACTTGGCAGTGAGGTATATTGTGAAGGTGTTAAGCATGAAAAGGAGCTAAAAACGATCTTTGCTAATAGGACAGAAAATAAAAGGTTAAAGCGGAAAGCGTTGCTATAAGTGGGTGTATGGGGTTGATATGTGCAAATAGGACAGAAAATAGAATATCGAGGTGGTGCTATTAGCTGCTTTGAGTGGGATTTTAGTGATTTTATTATTCTTTGTCTGAGCAGACTACATACTATGTATATCGAGCAGACTACATACTATGTATATGTCACGTCAAATTAGAGGTACGAATTGGATTATCTTAATTAGTTGAATGAAATATGGTCATACGGTGTATTGAATATCTAGACGATCATCTAAGATTTCAAGCACAGACAAATGACTCCGTATAGTGATTCCGTGCATACTCTTCTTCCTAACAAAAAATTTCCCCTTTCTACCGACCAAATCACCAAGAGAAAAAGTAAAGAAATAAAGTGAAATAACACCGCTACAAAAAAATTATTTATTTAGGTTTTTTTTTACTGTGCGATCCTAGACTATGAACTCCTCACTCTAGAATGTACAAATGAATTGAAAGTATGAAAGTCACATTTTTTTTGCAAGTGGAAAAATGTATTAAGTGAAATACATTTTTTACTTACAAAATTAAATTATGATTGAAAGTAGATATGTAAAGATGATACGGCAATATCATTTTATATTTTATAGTTATTAATATTATATTATATTTTTAATTATCTTTTGATAGCTACATATAAATGATCTGAAAGTGGATTTTATATACTAGATAATTAAAGTAACAACATAAAAATAGCATAACACTAATGACAGTAAGTTTGACACCTGATATGGGTTTCATTCTTATTATAGCCCTTAGAATAATTTAAGCCCAATCCACATATCCTGGCCCATTAAGCACCGAGCACCATCTCCCATTCTTAGTTGTGTCCAAACCTATCCAAAACCCTCGCTTCCATTGCCCCCCTCTGATCGCCGCTCCCAATGGCGTCGCATCGACGTCTAACCCTAACCCTAACCCGCCATTTCTGATCTCTCCTCTCCTCATCTCCTCCTCCTTCTCTCATCAAATCTCAAACCCTAACTCTTCGATCTCTTCACCTCTCAACCCTCAAAAACCCTCACTCCAACTCCATCCTCCCACTTTATCAACATCAATCCATCGATCCTCCTTGAAGTTGCTATTTCTCTTCTTGACCTTCGGATCCATTGGGAGACGATGATGAAGATGACGAAGAGGAAGAAGAAGGAGAATACGAAGAAGAAGAAGAAGAAAATGATGATGATGAAGGCGATGAGAGCTGCAATGTATCGGTGAAAACATTTCGAGCAAGTGGGAAATCTGAGGAGGAGAAAGCGAACGAGGCTGCTGATATCGGGTACAAGTGATTGGGCCGCTTGATCCTTCAGAGCGGCCATTTAAACCTTGGGAGCCTGTTTTTGCTGTTGTCCAGGTCTGTGAATTTTGATTTTCTTTTGGTTTTAAAACTTTATAAGGTTTTGTCTTTGGGACTGTATTGTTTGTGTTTATTGTAGATTGGTTCGCACCAATTTAAAGTTAGTAACGGGGATTCGATTTTCGCTGAAAGGTTGAAGTTTTGCGATGTTAATGACATGGTAAGGTGTTGCGTATTGAAGACTTTAGGGTTCTTTTGATTTTTACAGTATATACAACTTTCACCTGTAACGTAGAATTGTTAGTCTGGGGAATTTGGCTACATTGTAACATGAAACTGTAAGTTTAGTTATGAAATTACGATATAAATGTTTGTTACTGTAAAACATTCAGTTTAGTGCATATCACGCTGACACATACTTTTGTCGAGGTTGCTTGTATACAAAGGATAAGACTTTCGTGTTCTTATGCAAGGTCCCAATTCAGTAGAATAATCTTGTTGTAAATGCCCTTGCGCGTGTCATTATGCAAACTTGACTTGGTTTACGTTCAGCTTGTTTACTGCAGAGCTTCTCATCTAATGTCTAAGATGTCAATCCTTCCATTTTTCTCTTGTTGCATTGTTCTTAAAGAGCTTATTACGATAGTTGAGAAGTGTGATTTATTAGAATGGTCCAATGTCTATACCCATAACTGTTCAAGATGACTGCTTGGTTTGATGAACAATTGATTGCATAGGTAGGGCAGGAATTGGAGGTCAATACTACTTACCATCTGTTTCTTCTCAAAGATTAATTATTGGATTTATTGCTTCTTTCTGAAAATAAAAAAATTCCCAAGATGCTCCTTTAACACGACTCTTTTCCCTAATTTTTCTTCTAGATTCCTAGAATATGTTGTATACCTATCTTATCTCAAAATTCCCACCTAAATTCGTTTTGTGAAACTAAAAAATGCCTAAGCTGATATTAGTGACGAATTTCAAGTATAACTTTTTTCCTACTTCCTCTTCTAGATTGTATTGTGTAATCGTCTTCTCTCTTAATTCTGTCCTTTTTTCATTCCCAATTATTTGGCAGCTTGACCTATCTTAAAGTACGCCGTCATGTAGCCAAATCTAGGTTGAAACCCACTTATGGATGGAATTTTCTCATGTTGTTTACTCTCTTTAAAATTGCTAAGAGATGTTACCGTCCTGCAATCACTTTGTTCCACATAATATTGTTAAACATATTTGTGTGGAAGTTTCAATTTGCATTTACACTTAATATTCATTATGTTACAAGTGCCAAACTTCTCCACAAATTAATAGCCTAATTAATTGGTTTTTCAGTTCATCATCTTTGTTTTTGCTGATAGATTACTGTTGGGGAACTACTTCAGGACTAGTCTGAACATCATTTTCAGAAATCTCCTCAAATTCAACAAATTCCTTTGTTACAACTTTTGTATTGGAGCTACTTAATTCTGCAATTGATCTGTCTTTGTACATCACATTCTCATTGAATATGACATCTCTGCTTCTGATGATCTTCCGATTTTTATAATCCCAAAACCGGTAACCGAACTCATCACCACTATAACCAACAAAAACACATTTGTTAGATTTGGCATCAAGTTTACTTCTTTCAGCAGAATCTATGTGTACATAAGAGATACAACCAAAAATTCTTAAATACGAAAGGTTTACCTCTTTTCTGCTCCACGCTTCATCCGGTATTCCACCATCCAAGGGAACTGTCTTTTCTGCTCCACGCTTCATCCGGTATTCCACCATCCAAGGGAACTGAGGGACCGCGGTTGATTAGGCAGGCTGCGGTATTGATAGCTTCAGCCCATAGGAACTTGGGCAAGCCGGTATGTATCCTCATGCTTCTGGCATGTTCATTCAAAGTTCTATTCACGCGTTCTGCTACACCATTCTGTTGCGCTGTCATGGGAACAGTTTTCTCCATCTTGATCCCGTTGTTTGCACAAAATTCTTTGAATCTACTGTCTTTGTACTCTCCTCTATTGTCTGACCTTAACCGCTTTATCTTCAAACCAGTTTCATTTTCCACCATGGCCTTCCATTTTCTGAAGGTATCAAAGACTTCTGATTTCTTCTTCAGAAAATAGACCCATACATTCCTTGTAGAATCATCAATGAAGGTGACATAGTACAGTGAACCTGCAAGAGATGAAACTGGAGATGGCCCCCATACGTCTGTATGAACCAACTCTAACTTTTCTGCCTTGGGTGTCTTGCCAATCTTTGCAAAACTGACTTTCTTCTGTTTGCCAAAGATGCAATCCTCGCATAGGCCAACATTCACATTCTTCAGATCCGACAGCTTCCCTTTTGACAGAAGTGTCTTCATTCATTTCTCGCTCATATGGCCAAGCCTTTAGTGCCATAGGTTCTCTTTTTCATCTGCATCTGTTACTGCAATAATATTCTCTAGGTTAGAGGTTACATAGAGAGTACCACTTTTCTTACCTGGAGCAATGACGAGTGCTCCTTTCGTAATCTTCCATTCATGACCTTAGAAAGTTATACAGTAACCCTCTCCATCAAGCTGTCCTACGGAGAACAAATTTCATTTAAGGCCAGGAATATGTCTCACTCCTTGCAGCTTCCATGTGGTCTGATTTGGCAAATTTAATCGGATGTCTCCCTTACCAACGATCTTCAAGGTTTCATCATCTGCTAGATGTACCTTTTTAAAATCACCGCTGACATAGTTCTCCATGATTTCCCGGCAAGGGTTGGCATGGTAGGATGCTCCTAAATTAAAAATCCATGATTCAATCGGACCGTTGACGCTTTGAATCATAGCATCACCTCCTTCCTCGGTCACGTTGGCAGACTCCGGTGTGTCGGTATTTTTCTTCAATTTTAATCGGATGTCTCCCTTACCAACGATCTTCAATCGGACCGTTGACGCTTTGAATCATAGCATCACGCTTTGAAATGACCCTTCTTGCCACAATTGTAGCACTTAAAATCTTTCTTTTCCGATCTAGATTTGCTTGTTCTAGAATTTGATTTGCCGTGATTTGAACTTCTTCCTGAAAGCCAATCTAGAAAAGGTTGCTTTTACGGTGAAGTGAACCACATAACAATACTGAAGCAGAGACATGAAGGTGAAATTGGCCCGAGGAAAGTGAAAGAAAGGGAATGAACGCCCAAATGAAAACCCGTTCTCTGAAAGTTTTGATGTTGTAGTTATTGATGTATTGCTTATATAAGAGATGCACTTGGTAAGCGGCCTACCTACTTGTTATTGATGGATGTCTTGAGTGCTTTAGTTAATGAAATGCCCTGCAAATTTTGAAGATTAGGATCGAACTATGTTTGTGCTCAAATCTCTACAGAAAAGAATGGTTTCAGTTTTTAGGGTGCCTCGTTCCATTTTCCATTTGTTAGTGGTGTTATACTTATAAGGAACATAAGTATTTCTTCCCATATTTTGTGAAATAATTTGTCGGGATGTTTTCTCATTTGAGAGCTTTTGAGGTAGTAGCTGGTTGACTTGGCAGTAAGGTATATTGTGAAGGTGTTAAGCATGAAAAGGAGCTAAAACGATCTTTGCTAATAGGACAGAAAATAAAAGGTTAAAGTGGAAAGTGTTGCTATAAGTGGGTGTATGGGGTTGATATGTGCAAATAGGACAAAAAATAGAATATCGTGGTGGTGCTATTAGCTGCTTTGAGTTGGATTTTAGTGATTTTATTATTCTTTGTCTGAGTAGACTACGTACTATGTATATCAAGTGTACTGAACCGCTCATTATAAGTATATGTCACGTCAAATTAGAGGTACGAATTGGATTATATTAATTAGTTGAATGAAATATGGTGATATGGTGTATTGAATATCTAGACGATCATCTAAGGTTTCAAGCACAGACAAATGACTCTATATAGTGATTCTGTGCATACTATTCTTCCTAACAAAAAATTTCCCCTTTCTACCGATCAAATCATCAAGAGAAAAAGTAAAGAAATAAAGTGAAATAACACCGCTACAAAAAATTTATTTATTTAGGTTTGTTTTACGGTGCGATCCTAGACTATGAACTCCTCACTCTAGAATGTACAAGTGAATTGAAAGTATGAAAGTCACATTTTTTTGCAAGTGGAAAAATGTATTAAGTGAGATACATTGTTTACTTACAAAATTAAATTATTATTGAAAGTAGATATGTAAAGATGATACGACAATATCATTTTATATTTTACAGTTATTAATATTATATTATATTTTCAATTATGTTTTGATAGCTACATATAAATGATCTGAAAGTGGATTTTATATACTAGATAAATAAAGTAACAACATAAAAATAGCATAACACTGATGATAGTAAGTTTGACACCTGATGATGGGTTTCATTCTTATTATAGCCCATAGATTAATTTAAGCCCGATCCACATATCTTGGCCCATTAAGCACCGAGCCCCATCTCCCATTTTTAGTTGTGTCCAAACCTCTCCAAAACCCTCGCTTCCATTTCCCCCCTCTGATCGCCACCACCAATGGCGTCGCAGCGACGCCTAACCCTAACCCTAACCCGCAATTTCCGATCTCTCCTCTCCTCATCTCCTCCTCCTTCTCTCATCAAATCTCAAACCCTAACTCTTCGATCTCTTCACCTCTAACACCTCAAAAACCCTCACTCCAACTCCATCCTCCCACTTTATCAACATCAATCCATGGATCCTCCTCGAAATCGCCATTTCGCTTCTCGACCTTCGGATCCATTGGGAGACGATGATGAAGACGACGAAGAGGAAGAAGAAGGAGAATACGAAGAAGAAGAAGAAGAAGAAGATGATGATGATGAAGGCGATGAGAGCTGCAATGGATCGGTGAAGACATTTCGAGCGAGTGGGAAATCTGAGGAGGAGAAAGCGAACGAGGCTGCTGATATCAGGTACAAATTGATTTGGCCGCTTGATCCTTCAGAGCGGCCGTTTGAACCTTGGGAGCCTGTTTTTGCTGTTGTCCAGGTCTGTGACTTTTGACTTTCTTTTGGTTTTAAAACTTTACAAGGTTTTGTCTTTGGGACTATATTGTTTGTGCTTATTATAGATTGGTTCGCACCAGTTTAAAGTTAGTAACGGGGATTCGATTTTCACAGAAAGGTTAAAGTTTTGCGATGTTAATGGCAAGGTAAGGTGTTGCGTATTGAAGACTTTAGGGTTCTTTTGATTTTTACAGTATATGCAACTTTCACCTGTAACGTGGAATTGTTAGTCTGGGGAATTTGGCTACATTGCAACAGGAAACTGTAAGTTTATTTATGAAATTACGATATAAATGTTTGTTACAATAAAACATTCAGTTATAATGCACATCACACTGACACATACTTTTGTCGAGGTTGCTTGTATACAAAGGATAAGACTTTCGTGTTCTTATGTAAGGTCCCAATTCTGTAGAATAATCTTGTTGTAAATGTCCTTACGCGTGTCATTATGCAAACTTGACTTGGTTTACGTCTGGCTTGTTTTCTGCAGAGCTTCTCATCTAATGTCTGAGATGTCAATCCTTCCATTTTTCTCTTGTTGCATTGTTCTTAAAGAGCATATTACGACAGTTGAGAAGTGTGATTTAATAGAATGGTCCAATGTCTATACCCATAACTATTCAAGATGACTGCTTGGTTTGATGAACCAGTTGATTTCACAGGTAGGACAGGAATTGGAGGTCAATAAAACTTACCATTTGTTTCTTCTCAAAGATTAATTATTGGATTTATTGCTTCTTTCTGAAATTAAAAAAATTCCTAAGATGCTCCTTTAACACGACTCTTTTCCCTAATTTTTCTTCTAGATTCCTAGAATATGTTGTATACCCATCTTATCTCAAACTTCCCACCCAAATTCATTTTTTGAAACTAAAAGATGCTTAAGCTGATATCAGTGACAAATTTCAAGTATAACTTTTTTTCCTACTTTCTCTTCTAGAATGTATTGTGTAACCGTCTTATCTCTTAATTCTGTCCTTTTTCCATTTCTAATTATTTGGCAGTTTGACATATCTTAAAGTACGCCGTCATGTAGCCAAATCTGGGTTGAAACCTACTTATGGTCAGAATTTTCTCATGTTGTTTACTCTCTTTAAAATTGCCAAGAGATGTTACCGGCCTGCAATCACTTTGTTCCACATAATATTGTTAAACATATTTGTGAGGAAGTTTCAATTTGCATTTGCACTTAATATTCATTATGTTGCAAGTGCCAACCTTCTTCACAAATTAATAGCCTAATTAATTGGTTTTTCAGTTCATCATCTTTGTTTTTGCAGATAGATTCCTATTGAGGAACTACTTCAGGACTAGTCTAACCATCATTTTTAGAAATCTCCTCAAATTCAACAAATTCCTTTGTTTCAACTTTTGTATTGGAGCTACTTAATTCTGCAATTGATCTGTCTTTGTACATCACATTCTCATTGAATATGACATCTCTGCTTTTGATGATCTTCCGATTTTTATAATCCCAAAATCGGTAACCGAACTCATCACCGCCATAACCAACAAAAACAAAAAACACATTTGTTAGATTTGGCATCAAGTTTACTTCTTTCAGCAGAATCTATGTGTACATAAGAGATACAACCAAAAATTCTTAAATGCGAAAGGTTTACCTCTTTTCTGCTCCACGCTTCATCCGGTATTCCACCATCCAAGGGAACTGAGGGACCGCGGTTGATTAGGTAGGCTGTGGTATTGATAGCTTCAGCACATAGGAACTTGGGCAAGCCGGCATGTAACCTCATGCTTCTGGCATGTTCATTCAAAGTTCTATTCATGCGTTCCGCTACACCATTCTGCTGCGCTGTCATGGGAACAGTTTTCTCCATCTTGATCCCGTTGTTTACACAAAATTCTTAGAATCTACTGTCTTTGTACTCTCCTCCATTGTCTGACCTTAACCGCTTTATCTTCAAACCAGTTTTATTTTCCACCATGGCCTTCTATTTTCTAACGGTATCAAAGACTTCTGGCCTAGGGGTGCGCGTTGACCGGCGTTAACCCTGGTGTTGACCTAGGGTTACGCGTTGACCGGTGTTGACCCTAGGGTTTCGAACGTCGTAGGATGCTCAAGTCACGAGACCAACTAATGAAGCTGATGCGTCAGTGACTCTCCCATTTATAGGATTTTTGGCAAACCCCCAGCCCTCAATGGGTTTGATGAGCCTTTCTTGACTACCGTTTGAGTCGGGCTAGCATGCGGATTATTAAATCCGTTCCGCATGTGATGTTGTGCTAAGAGAGTTAACGCTCTTAGTGCTACGATACTGAATACGTAGACTTCGTCTTTCTCACGGGAATAGACTACCCGGCGACGCGTGTTAGGCGCTGACTTTAGGATTTTTGGCTAACCACTACCGTTTGAGTCGGGCTAGCATGCGGATTGTCTAGATCCGTTCCGCATGTAACATTGTGCTAAGAGAGTGAATTCTCTTAGACTCGGCGCTACGACTTCGAATACGTAGACTTCGCCCTTGTTACGGGAATAGGCTACCCGGCAACGTGTATTAGACGCTGACTTATCTCTACTTAGGCTTTGGGATCAAAGTCCCAAGAATCAAACTCTGGTGTCTTTTTCCACGGAAAAAGACTAAACCGGCGACGCGTGTTAGGCGTCGGCATATCCTTTCTTAGGGTTCATGATGAAATTCCCCATACGTGTGAGGCATGAATTTTGGTGTTATTAATAACAACCTGCCACACTGTTGAATATGTGGACGGGTGTTCTTTTTAACGGTCAAGAACTAACCGGCAGCGCGGGTTAAGCGCAGACTTATCCCTGCTTAGGTTTCAGGATAGAATACCCCATGCGTGTGAGGCATGGATTTTGGTGTTATTAATAACAACCTGCCATAATGTTGAATATGTGGGCGGGTGTTCTTTTTAACGGTTAAGAACTAACCGGCAGCGCGGGTTAAGCGCAGACTTATCCCTGCTTAGGTTTCAGGATAGAATACCCCAGAATCAAACCCTGGTGTCTTTTTCTGTGGAAAAAGACTAAACCGGCAGCGCGTGTTAGGCGCAGACTTATCCTTGCTTAGGATTCGGGATAAACTTCCTAGGATGAATCCTAAATTGATAAATTCTTGGAAAAGGTCGATGTGGGAAAGGAAGAATTTTATATTCTATTTCCCGGTCTTCTTTTAGGGAGAAGGCGAACCCGAAAACAAGGAAGGAAGAATTTTATATTCTATTCCTTGATTCTAAAAAGGAAGAATTTTATATTCTATTTCCAGTTGAAAAGGAGACTTGAGGTGGGATCTCCACCCCCAGAATCCGGAATGGTGAGACTAGGAGTGGGACTTCCACTCCGAGAATCAAAAAATTCGGATAATCCTAACTGTCGGAAGGTTTGATTACCGAACTAAAGGTGAATTTCTCGTTTATCGAGAGTGAATTGTTGTTTTGGTCCTAACTGTAGGAAGGTTTGACCAAGCGAGAGTTTGAGGTGACCCTAACTATAGGAAGGTTTGATCACTCGATAGTTCGTGGAAGGAATCGAGAGGAGATTTTGGCTGTGGTCCTAACTGTAGAAAGGTTTGACCAGGTGACAGATCAAAATTTAAGCATTATATCCGGACTCTAACTTCAAAGTGTTGCGTGCACGAACATAGCGGAAGTTTGAATGGATTGAACTTGATAGAATTTGGTGGTCCTACCGTCAATTAGTCTGATCGGTGGGGGATTTTGTGGTGGGAGACTGTAAGTCGTCAAACACCAATGAGAGTTCTGTGAGGGAAAATTGATCCAATAAAGTGATCGAATCTCACCTCAGCAAAAGAGTGTTCGAAAATCATAGTAGAAGTTTAGTGTTCATCACTTTGTTCACATTGATCGGGTTATCCCTAAGAATATTAACATTCTTTCGAGAACTTCCCGTTACATAAATCGTCCACCCCCAGCTTCCTCTGCGGAACTGGTTCGGACATTATTCTCAGTTACCTGACCAGGTTATCCTTAAGAATATTAGCGTAATATTCTCCAGGAACATCCCATCAAAAGTGGGAAACAGTTTAGACTCATATACCTATTGGAGTATGCAGGGAGCAGTTTAACCTCATGCACCTATTGGAGGATTGAGAAGCAGTTTATACTCTTATACTTGTTGGAGTCTTGCCGTTCTCAATTGGCTTACCTTAGCGTTATAACGCCGGCTTCAACCAAGGTTTGGATGCTGTTCTTTAAAGTAAAGCACGCCTTGGTGGGATGAAGGATCCTCCTGTGGTACGCGCAGTACTTCGGATCCGCAGTATTGTCAGCTTCCTCCTGATTTATGATGGGTGGCAGCTTGATCTTGTTACTTTCAAGAAGGGTCTCGAAGATGGCTGGAACGTCTTCGTCCTTGAATGAGTACTCTTTTTGGAGTTTCGGGTCCGAAGTCTTTTGCTGCCTTCGGGATTGCTGTTGCGACGTTTGATTAGCACCACCAGTAGCTGCAGGTGTTTTGCCCTTCCCACGGGAGGCGAAGTTTGAGTTCAGAGGATTAGCCGTCGGTAGGTTCCTCTCGGCCTTCTTCCTTCGGAGGAAGCGTTCGGCTTGTTCACCGCGCACCTTCAAGTCTTTCCAAGTGTCAGACGGTGCTGTTCCCATTGCTTCCATACTACGTCAATGCGAGGTTAGTTGTGGCAAGCATTATGGAGAAATGAACTCTCAGTGGATATAGACTTATCCCCGCGCAACATTCGATACTCTGCGAAACATTATATGAAAAGAATACCCACTAATTCTCACGTCTTCCACCAGGTTCTCTCGCTCAAGCAAACCCGATCGATGATTG